CGCGGGGGTGCCGGGCGGAGCTGGGCAGTATCCTGCTGCTGCTGGTGCTGTACGTGCTGCAGGGCATCCCGCTGGGGCTGGCGGGCAGCGTCCCCCTCATCCTGCAGAGCAAGAGCGCCAGCTACACCGACCAGGCCTTCTTCAGCTTCGTCTTCTGGCCCTTCAGCCTCAAGCTGCTCTGGGCCCCCTTGGTGGACGCCGTCTACCTGCGGGGTTTCGGCCGCCGCAAGTCCTGGCTGGTGCCCACGCAGTACGTCCTGGGGCTCTTCATGATCTACATGTCCACCCAGGTGGACGTGCTGCTGGGCGACGGGGAGGGCCGGGGCCCCGACGTGGTGGCCCTCACTGTGACTTTCTTCCTCTTCGAGTTCCTGGCGGCAACGCAGGACATTGCGGTGGACGGCTGGGCCCTCACCATGCTGTCCAGGGAGAACGTGGGCTACGCCTCCACCTGCAACTCCGTGGGCCAGACGGCCGGCTACTTTCTGGGCAACGTTCTCTTTCTGGCCCTCGAGTCGGCCTCCTTCTGCAACAAGTACCTGCGATTCCAGCCCCAGCCCCGAGGGATTGTTACCCTCTCAGGTACTGCCTGGCTGCGGCCGGCCTGTGCGTGCTGATGCTGGGATGGGGATGCTTCTTCCCGGAGCCTGGACCAAAGCTCTGTTCAGAGCAGCGGTGGTTTGGCACGGTGAACCGAGCAGCTTTATGTTGTCCCCGGCCCATGAGAAAGCACAGCCTGGCCGGAGGCTGGCGGAGTCCACTGCTACGTGCCCTGGACTTGCAGGCTCCTCTGGGCCTGAGGGTGTGGGAAACCTGCCTTGTCATTATCTTGGCTGACCTAAGCACTTTAGAGAGCGTTTTTCTCCCACCCCAGTTTAATGACTGTGGGATAAATTATTGTTTAAAAAACCCCAAACATATCAAAAGCTTTTCCTCGTTTTAATGAGGCCTTTTAAGAACATCTCTTGGGAGGAAGGAGAGAGGAAATTTTAAAAAAATTGGCTCTTCCAAGATGGTATTGTTCACAGAAGTACAAAAGACTAGTGTTTAGGGTTGACTGCGTAGCCAATTTCCGAAGAAAGGTCTTATTTTAGTAAACTAAGGGGCTGCTTTCTGTTTGCTTTATTGCATTAAATGGAGTCTGCTAATCCAACCATAACTAGCTGTTAGTGTAGGGATGTCTGCTGTTTGGTGGGTGTTGGGATTTTTTTTTCAGAAAGGTTACATGTGGTGGTTGATGTTAGGCGTATTACCTCGAAGTTGCTTGAAACACACATGATTTGGTTGCAAGGTTTTTAGCCAGCTCAGTTTATTGGGAGGACAGGAAAAACTGGCACCACTTCTGGTTGCAGTCTCCAGGTGACCATGGCTACCAAAGAAGGGTAAATCCTCACGGTTTTAATTTCTTTTCCCTCTCTTACACTGATTGCTCTGCCTGTATCATGTAAGAGAAAAGGTATGGCAAAACTGAATTCAACTGTTTTATAAAAGCTAGTTTTTGCTTTCTGTCCTGTACCTGTTTTATCGATAAATCCAGCTCTCGGTTTCCAAGACTGCTGTACTTAATTTTGTCTGTGCAGCTATCATGATTGCTAACTAGTCTTCCTCTTTCCTTCCTGTTGATAACCTTGTGTCTGGTTTATATGTCAGCAAGCATAGCCTCAGAGTAACCCCGCTGCTTTACTGCTGTCCTTTGTTTTCCCTTGCCCTGCAGTTCATCCCTTCCCTCTTGCTGCAGCCGCACACTAACGTCTTTTACTGCTGATGCAACTGGCAAGTCACTGGTGTATCATAGTTCAGAGTTGGTTTGTCTATACTTATCTCTACTGTCCAGGTTTTTTGTTGTTTTGTTTTTTTCTCAGTACTGTTTGTATAAATGGATTTGTTACTATTACAGGAGTCCTGTCTTTGGAAAAAACACAAAATATATATCCCCAAACCAAAACACACCACTGCAACCTGTTTAACTTGTCCTGGAATACTAATCTGGGTGGAGTAAGAAAAGCAAGTAATTCTGACACTGTAGTTGCAGGATATGTTGTTTTGGGTGGTAAAACTGGCTGCTAGAAATTTTCTTTTTCCCTTGTTGATGTGACTGTGCGCCACAATTTGCTGTGTCCACGTTTCTCCCGCAGCAGCTGCAGAGCAGCAGCACTGTAACCCCGCTCACTGAAACGAGGAGGGTGGCTCTCTGGTCCTAGTGCTGGTTGTAACGGGGCTCATGATGAGCCAGTTCGGGCAGTTAAAGCAGCAGAAAACTTTACAGTTTGAAAAGGTGAATAGTTTTCTGTCAGTTCAGATCTCTGAACACTTTCATTGTAGGCTGCGTGCCAATGCAAGTGAAAGACCAAGTCAGAGCTTCATGATCCCAGGTCAGCTTCAAGTTGTCGAGGAGCAGCAGCATTTGTCTTTCTCATTAACTTTGGGAAATAACAGGAACAAATGTGAAACCATTCATCAAAGAAAATGCTGTGTTATGTTTTTCAGGCTAAAGTTCTAGAGAAGAAAATGAGAAATACATTTCACTGGGCTTATTGGTTGTGCTAGCGTGTATATGAGTTTAGCACACTGCTGCTCAAGTCATTTGGGGGGGGAGAAGCTTACTGGCTGGGTTTGTTGATTCTTGTTCCAGCATGAAGGAAGAGAGGTGAAGCACAAGTGCAGGAAGGAGTTGCCCTGCGTGGCAGCCCAGACTGACCTGGGTCAGTGACTGGAGCACCCTTGTTCCTGGGAGGAGATGTGTAGCTGTACAGTTACCAAAAGCTATTGTGATGGAACGCCTGTACCCCTGCACACCTTGGTGGGGTTATTTTCCAGCCTGGTCAGGCCCTGATCTAGTTCAAAAGTTTGCTTTGCCCCAGCACAGTCGTTTATTTTGTTAGGAACAGTGTAGAGGCAGAGATAAAATAAGGATGGGGGGAGCCAGCAGCAGTGGCACTGGAAACTTTGTGTTAGAAATTCCTTGTGTGAGCTACAATTTTAAAGTTCTTTTGCTTGCAGCTAGTGAGTGGACTTCAAGATACACTTCCTTTCAAATACAGTATTTCTGTGTAAACTGCCTACAACCCCCAAACCATTTTTTTTTTAAATCTGCACTATTATGTAATAGGGCTTTTTGTCGTTGTTTTGTTGCTAATCCAGCCGTTGTGCTGCTGCACTGTAGCTGCTCAGGGGCGACTCGATCAAGAGTATTCACGCGATGATGCTCGGAGCTATTTCTGTTCCCGTCCTAGCACTGTAGGGCTCTCGCTGCAGTGATAACGCTCGGTGCTATTATTAGAGTACCACTCCTGAATGTCTTTTGTAGACAGTAGCTGTGATAGCTTGGCTCTCTGAAAATTCATCTTTTAATTAAAAAAAATATATGTTCAGGGTACCTTTTTTTAACAGAGGGGAGAGCAATCTGACAGCATTGGTTACAAGATCTTCTTTACTTTAGAAAAGGGGAAAGTAGCTGCTATGGAAGCAGCAGAAAATGGTTTGAAATGCCTTTTTTCCTTTACACTGAGGGTGGTAGGATATATCTAAAGGAGTCTTTCCACGTTTTCGTCCATGTTTGTTGTGCTTGTTCTCTTCCTGTGCCTAAGAAGCAGCTAATAATTGACTAAACCTTTGCACTGTCTTTGCCCTTTCACCAGCCCTCGCTGCTTACTTTCAAGTCACCGTGAGGCTTCTGGAGTTGCTCGTGACCAGGAAGATAAAAGGCTACTTCTGCCTTACCCTCTGCATGCTACTGGGTTCTTTCTTGCCTCTTTCATAAAGGTAGAGGATAGGATTATCTTAGATTAATCCATTCACTAACTCAAAAAGTACTTGTCGTAAAATACTGGGGTGTTTTTACTATCGCTGCCTTCAAATCCACGATTTAGCAAATATTAAATCTGCTTATAGTACAATATTCACTTAAACCAGACATATTTGAGTGGCTCTTTACAACTGTAAGAACTTTCATCGGGGCATCTTTACACTCAAATCTTTGTTTCCTTCAGGCAGTAGATAGATGTTGTGCAGGGAGTAGAGAATTGAGGCACAGAATGGTTACATCCAGTAAATCATCTGCAGAGTTGCCAATAACTTCTTCCTCTGAAGTTTTTTCCCTGTCTTGTAATGTTAAATGTGGTTTTTCCTCTATCAGCTTTTAGCGGTTGTATGTGTAATCTTTCAAAACTTTCATTTTCTTTTCTGTTTCTCCTCCAACATGCTCACTGTGATAATAACACACGGTGAACACCAGGGAAGGGGCCTGGTTTGCTGCTGCTCTTCTGTCTCAGACCTGGCGCAAACATGTGGTTATAGAGTGAGGGGTGAGGAGGAGCAGTGTCAGTGCCTGGAGGTAGCTGTGTGTTTGGTTTCCTTTTGTTGCTTGTTTTTAGGAGGGTCAATGAGTGATGTTTTTATTCAATTTTTTGATTGTTGGGTTTATATTTTTGCAAAATAATTGCATTTTAGCTACTCGGTGAAATGTTAATGAAGTGTTGATGATGGCTGCTAGAAGGATTTTTTTATTTTATTTTTTTTTCCCCTCTAGATTTTCTGTTTTTCTGGGGAGCTGTCTTTTTAATTACCACTACACTGGTTGCCCTTTTGAAGAAGGAAAACAAGGAACTAACTCCAACAAAAGAGGAAACTAAAGGCATCACGGATACATACAGGCTGCTATTTTCAATAATCAAGATGCCGGCAGTTCTTACTTTCTGTCTCTTGATTCTCACAGCAAAAGTAAGTAAATACATGTATGAATTGTTAGATGCTGGTGATACCAGTGTCTGAAAGGCTGCCGAGTCCTGGTGATGTAACTTATTTCTTAGTTTTGCTAGTGGTTTTGATCAGAGTTCTGAATTTTCACATGAAATTTGAAACAATTGCTTGTATCATCACGCTAAGCAGGGTTGTACAACAAAAAACATTTGTTTGAGCTTTTTGGAGTGTTCGTACAAGCATTAAAGAAGTTTGATTGCAGTCTAGTATTGTAGCAATTTGGCTTTAAACATTTCTAAACAGTCGGGCTGTTTGTGTAGTCTGCAGTTAAAAGGATGGAAAATGTTTAATTTAACCTAAATACTACTCTCGGAACCTGCAGCTCTGTACAAACTAGGTTTCTGTGGCTTGTTGGCCACAGAGGCCACTGTGGACACCAACAGCAGTGAAGGCAGGGGCATGAATGTCATTGCTACGTTCAATGTTCTTGGTACAGCTTGGGGGCTGATGGCAATAAGGGGGTGTCAGTGTGTCAAAGAACTTACCTGGAAATCAAATCAGAGACAGAAGTGACTTGTACTCTATCACACTTCTCAATGTACTTAATACTGAGTAAACTGGATTTCTAGGCAAACTCACTGCTTTCTTCAGTTTATTTTGTTGAATTCCTATTGCAGGTTGGATTTTCAGCAGCAGATGCAGTGACAGGACTCAAACTGGTGGAAGAGGGAGTCCCGAAAGAGCACTTAGCTCTGCTGGCAGTTCCGATGGTTCCTTTACAGATAATACTGCCGCTGATTATCAGCAAATACACAGCAGGCCCCAAGCCACTGAACACGTTTTACAAAGCTATGCCCTTCAGGTAAAACCAGACAAATCTCATTTTATAGAAGCGTAGCAATTTGGATGCTCAGATCAAGTGTAGGGTTTCTTGTGTAACTCTCTGACCTCCAGATACAAGAAAGTAGGTCAGAATTCTCAAGTGAGTTGAATTCTCTGCGTCTCGGTGCTTGAAGGTAGTTCACGTGGTATCACACGGAAGAAAGCAGAGCGTGAGGTGGTTTTTAGCAGCATGTTCAGCAGCATTAGGGCAGTGCTCTCCTGCTCTTACGCCGTGTGGATGGTTCCTTACTGAGGGGTCGCTCTGACCAGGCCTGGCACTGCGTGTGTGACGTTCCCTGCGCTTCCCCTGACGGGCCGTTGGGTACATCTGCTGCTCGAGTGCTTTGCTGAGGGGATGGAGAGTGAAAGAAGCAGAGGCAGGCTGGTGCAGACCGGGAGACATCTCGTTTCTGCGTTCAGTCCTTCATATAGGAGTTTGCTTATGGAATTGTAAAGCCAACGAATCCAACAAAGTACCTCATGCTGTTACTCAGTAAATCAAGCAACATGTCTGTAACATGTAGCTGCTACTTTAACATATTCTTATAAAACTATGTATGTTTTCAGAAAAAAAAAGAAGTAAATCTTGCTCCATCTGAATTTGGTTGGATATCTGGAGTGTTGCTTTCTGTAAAAATAAATTTCTGTGTGAAGGGGCAAGGGAGAAAGCTAGGATAGGACATCTGGCAGTGAACTGTGTTTATATGGAAGACAGAATTGTTTAGGTATAAAATGTTCACGATTTCAGTGCTCATCAAATATTAAATATCTAATTCTAAGATAGAAATAGTTGTAACTATTTAGATAGAAACTATTTTAATGTATTCTGTATGTATAAACAGTCGATAGTTGCTTTGTATGAAGGAAACACTTGGGAAGAATTACTTGAATTACAAATTCTCTTTCTCACTCCTCCAGACTACTACTTGGTCTGGAATTTGCTTTTTTGGTGTGGTGGACTCCTCAAGTGAAACACGAAGGAGGATTTCCTGTCTACTACTATGTTGTAGTATTGTTGAGTTATGGTTTACACCAGGTAACGTATGCTGTGTGTGGGAAGGGCAGGGGCACGGGGACGGGGGGGATTTCCCTGTCAACCAGCAGGAGACTATAAATGCCACTATCTGCTCTTCTCCAAAGTTATACTAGAATTCCTCTAAGCCTGACCTGTGTTCTCTAGGGCTGTATTTACTTCTGATACTTTTGCCAGTATCATTTCTCCCTCTTCCACGTGCTCCACTGAACATCTTTTGTGGAGTTACTTTTAGTTGACCAGACCTTCTTTTATTTCCTAGATTGTTTTTTGTTTTGTTCCCCAAACCCAGGAGCTCAGAAGCATGGTGGAGTTGGAGAAATCCCTCCATTCTGCCTGAGTTTCATAGGCATGATGATGATTGTGCTTATTGTGCAGATCTATAAAATGAGGTGATCCTGGTCTTAAAAAAAATATTTTGGAGGAACGTAACAATGAATCTGATCCAAAGGCCTGGAAACCAAGTGCCTGCTACAAAGCTTTGGATCAGAACTAAAATGTCTGCAGCGCCTTGAGAGTTGATTTTAAATGCAAAAGTGTTCTTTTTATGTGCTATTTTAGCTGCCCTTATTACACTTCAGTCTGATAACCCACATCATTCCTGTGCATGTGAGGCTGGCTCCATCCCAGCATGACATGAGCCAAGTGGCAAGGCTACTTCTTGGTGTTAGCAGAGAATCAGACTGCAGAAGTACTTTTCTTTCTTGTGCAATTATAAGCTGTTGGGATTATTTTTCAATGTTGCTACCTTCAGACAATCTTTTAGAACAGTTTTATGTCAGGGTTTTCAGCTGTTGGTGTCTGTAAGTGGGGAGACCTTACTGTCCTGTGGGCTTTCCCCCCTCTTCTGTAGATCACGCTGTATAGCATGTATGTTGCAATAATGGCTTTCAACGCCAAAGTCAGCGATCCGCTGATTGGAGGGACCTACATGACGCTCCTGAACACGGTGTCAAATCTGGGAGGGAACTGGCCTTCCACCGTGGCACTCTGGCTTGTGGACCCGCTCACGGTGAAAGAGTGCGCGGGGGCCCGGGAACAGACCTGTGCAACTACAGTCGCTGCAGAAGTAAGTTTTGGAGGCTGTCGAGGCCTCTGTTCAATTATTTCTCGATGAAATTGCTTCCCTTAGGTTGGTTTTTTTTTTTGCCTTTGAAAATCTTTGTAGTGCGTGGCTTATGCTTAAAACCTCCCATTGATCGAGCTAATTTTCCTGTGATAAAATCAAGTCTGTTTTTATCTGTACACTCTTAATAACTAACATCCTAACAAAGATTTGTGGTTGCAGAGTAGTTGTCCATTTCTTTCTGGGCTGGGATGAAAAGCCAGTGGTGGAAGCACTAGGTTGGTGCCCCATTCTCTGTGGTACAAGGAGGCTGTAGTTATATTTTTGAGGGTAAACCTTGCTAAATTCAGTGGTGGGATTAGGCACTCTGTTCTTGGCAGGCTGGCTGTCCCCCAAGCCCCCGAAGTTTTGTGGTAGGTTTTTTGTTCCTTCTGTTTTTCTGGAGGCTTCCTATCCGGATACCTTGATACCTTCTCCTGTGACGTTACTGGCTCTCAGGCTTTGATCTCCACTTCCCGTGTGAAGCCGCGGTGGGACTGGCTGCCTTCCCGGTCCTGGGGAGCCCTGGGGAGGAGAACAAAGACCGTGCTGTGCACAGATCAGACAGCAGGATGCGAAACTGCCTGCAAAGCAGAGTTTCAAATTCGCCTCCTCATGAGCAAATTGGAAGTTTTAACGCTACTGCTTGGAAGGCTGGAAATGTTCGAGGGGTTTTTCTTGGGTTTTTCTTTTTTCCTTACTCATGACTGAGATTTATTTCACTTCTAAATGCCAGGACTCTTTGGGATGTGGAGGTTCTCTAAATAAACAAAGTATTCCGGGAGTCAAACATGACTTGTCTGAACTGGAATTGCAGTTTTTCCTGGTTGCAGAGGGGAAGCTGCTTCTGCAGCGTGTGCTTTTCAGTCTGTCTCTCCTTGGTTTGCCACTAATTAGGTTCCCTGTGCCTGGGCCTCTACTGAACTTCAGCCCTTCCTCCTTTAACCTCACTCCTCTGATCTTTTTTCACACCCTCCCCATTGGTAACATTCCACCGCCACTCCCTTCTTATTCCTAATCTGATTTTGACGTGTCTCAGAATAATGAAAATGCTGCCAGAACCTCAGCGCGGAGTATTGATCTATTTTGGGGTTAGAGCAGTATTGGAAGCTGAACAACAGCAGAAACCATTGTGGCCTTTACACTTACCCTTTAAATGCCAGAGGTTTTGACTTCCAGTTCTGCAATTAAAAAACATCCTGGGCCTGTTCTTCCCAGAAATATGCGGCATTTTGTACTGTCTGTTTGCAGATTCTGTGTGGTGAGATGCAATTCCTAGTTCCTAAAGATTAAATTATCATTCCTAAAGAAGCAGTTTGGATGGCTAAGAAAAAAATAAAGTCTGTCTTCATGGGATTAAGAACAGTGATTGCACCTCCAGGCCAGTGTGAGACAGCTGGACAGTTTCTTTTTTCTAGAGTTTGCCCCTTGGGCCGATATGTTCCATTTCCCTAATGTTTTTTAATGGTTTTGTTGCTTTTGGTACTGACGGTAAGCTTGAAAGCCTCTCTTACTAACTCCATACAAAACAAGGGAGAGTAAACAACTATATTTAGTCATAACCAAGAGCAAGTAAAAAACAGTGGATATCTAATGCCTAATTTCTAAAAGTTTGTGTTTCTGCATCTCCCAGAGAATACTTAATGCATCAGCTTCTGCTTCTGGGTTTCAGCTCTGCACAAAAGCTGGCGGTTCCTGTGTGACTACCCTGGATGGTTACTACGTGGAATCTGTCGTCTGCGTCATTCTGGGATTTGGCTGGTGGTTCCTACTTGGGCCAAAACTTAAAAAGCTGCAGGAGGAAGGACAGTCTTCCTGGAAGTGCAAGAGGACCAATTGATGCAGTTTAAACACTGGATGGACTAGCAAGGTTGTTTTAGTTTTATTACAGAGACATATCCCATAATCAATAAACAGGAAAATAAGTATTTTTAAATGCCACAACACTGAAAACAAGGGTGGCTGAGACAGTGGTATGTTTGTATGTGATACCACTTGCCCTCCCAAGATGAAAACCTAAGTTCAGAAAGTAATTGTTAAAAACTAGCACCTATGTACTCCATTCGTATCCCCAGCTCTAGCTTCAGAGTTATGGCTGCTGGTGTAACCCCCGTCTGAATTTCCATACAGGAGCTATGGAAGAGCTGCTGGTGCCATGTCTGCCCAAACAGCAGCATGGCCAGCCAAGCTCCAGCTCTTTCTTTTCAAACAGAAATGATCTGACGTGGGGAGGTGACCCGGAGAAGGGTGTCAGAGGCCTTTTGACTTGTAGGTTAAGTGTGTTGTACTGTGGAATTCCTTGTGGGAAGAGAAACGTAAGATGTCTGTGGGCTTTGTTCCTTCTTGCTTTCTGAACTGTAACCACACTTCAAAGGATGAGATGTTTCAGAGTTTCTTTTAACTGTATTTTCTGGCTTTTATAAGCTTTAAAGATTTATAAGAAAATATTTTTATAAACAAATTACCTTTGTTTAATTTATTTCTGCTGTTTCAAAGCATTTTGATTTACATTCAAGGTACTTTTCTTGATGAAAAATGTTGTAAGGTAGGACTTGAGTAACGCACAATACTCCACACCCCAAGTCCTGAAGAGGCAACCTGGCTAGTGTGGTGGCTAGCACACAGCAGGTGGGCTTCAGCGGGCAGGCACGCAGGCCTTTGGAAGGGGTTGGTGCTCTGAGAGAATGAACTGATAGTGTTGGTTCCTCTTGGTCGCTAAAATTCAAACCTCAGTGGGAAAAATGTGACTTTCCCCAGCTAGGGGTAAGAGAAGGCGACTGGGGCCTTTGGGAGTGATTCGGTGGTGACAAACTTGCCAAATTCCCAGCGAGTTGCTGTACGACTTGCTGTCACAGAAATCAAACGAGCTACATCCTGTGGTAGAGCTGCTACAGAAATTTATTACTGATGCTGTGTAGTGGAAACATTCCCGTTGCATTTATTAAAAATGACTTCCCTCCTGAGTGCCTTAGTGGTGTCCAGCCAGCACAGCGTGCGCCGAGAGAGGGCACTTGGACGTTGTTGGATGTATACGGTACATCATTATCAAAAAACTATTAAAAATACCTTTGAAAGGTACATGATTTCTTTTTCCATTCTGTGGTTCTTGCCTTGTCAATATTTAAGTTCTGCACCCTGAGTTTGGGGTTCTAAACTCCGGAGGGGCTTGTGGATCTTTTGTTGCTCTCTGTTTCAGGAAAAAAGTAACTGAGTGCTGAGATTTGGAGGGGCCACGGAGGGTGTGCACAAAGCATCTGCGTGGCACGAGGAGTCTGAAGGCGTCCGGACGAGGACAGCGTGACCAGATGCTTCCCTGGGGACTGACTCCTGCTCCTCTGTCCCTTCCCCTCTCCCTCCTCCGCAGCCGCCCCCCGAGCTCTCCCCGGCTGGGGGCTGTGCTCTCCCCCCCAGCACCTTCTCTCCAGTTGTTTCGAGTGCAGCAGAATCAGTCAGGCTAAATGAAACCACGTTGGGTTTACTGCCCAAACTAAAAATCTTACAGTGTCACCTCTGCATATGCACTAAAAGGATGTCTCACTGGTCTGTAGTCAGAGGTGGGTGCATCTCAGATCCCCCCCGACTCACTCTGCAGCCCCTTCAGTTCCCTGTCTTTACTGGAACAACGAGCCACTTCCTTTAATTGCATCGTGTCTGGACTCAGAGATATTTTTTTTATTTTTTCTGACTTTCAGGAAATGGGAAATGAAATCCACAGGTGTTTCAGAGTTGGCTTTTTACCTTTCAGTGTTGTTTCACTATTTCTGAAGGTGCCAGTGAAACTTGATCTTAATAAAGACGGGTGGAGGATTGCTTATCTGTATGACAACATCCAAATTAGACATAAACTCCAAATCCATGGGAATAGATATGAAATGTGGCCTATATTAACTATCTCCTCTTTCACACTAGAGAAACAACTGCTGGGTTAGATTTTTTTTTTTTTAATCTGTGTTGCTATTTTGTAACACAAGTCAGAAATGTTGATTAGCAGGTTGATGAAATGACCCAGTAAACTTTTGGTCTTCCTACTTTTTTTTCCTCCCAAGCCTATCTTAAAGTGATTTTTTTTTTTAAGATTATAATTATTGTATTTAAACATCTTTTTAAAAAATGTTTAAAAACTTTCCTTGGGAGTCTTACTGAAATGGGAGCTGGAGGAGGTGGGTGGTACCAGGTACTGCTGTAGATCCCTGTGTGGGCCTGGTGCATCAGGTGTGTGTTATCTCTAGTGGAAGGGAAATGGCAGAAATGGGATTTTTGTAGGTAAAGGGTTTGTTCTGGTTTAAATTCCTGAGCAGGATCATTGCTCATTGTGAGGTGAGTGGGGTCCCGGGGCAAGGGAAGGGTTGGACACGGAGGAGAGGTGGAGGACAGCTCCCCCCTAAAGGTCATTGGCACCCACACTCACCAGTGGCGTAACTTGCTGTTTCCTAAACACCTACCCGTACTCCAAACCTCAATCCCGTAATCCCAGCACCCAGGGAAAAAAAATTAAAAAAAGGATGTGTGAGTTCTGACCGGAGTGCGGGGCAGGGTTGCGGGCTCTGGCTCCACACCGCCGCCTCCTCCGTACCCACCCCGGAGTCTGCCCGTGCCCCTCGTCAGCGGTTCTCCGCCTTCTGTAACGCTGCTGTTGCCTTCCGGGCGTTCAGGTGATTTTTGATCTGATAAAATAAGGGAGATTGGGGAGTTCAGTCCCTGAACCCGGGGAGCCCACGGCAGGAAGGCAGAGCACCTCCCCGCAGCGGGGACGGAGCCACTGAGGTTTTGGAGGCAGCGATAATCTGACTCGGCCCCTCCAGTGAGGTGCTGCTATTCATTTAATGTTTCACCCAACATACAAACTGCAGCAGAGTCAGCATCCAAATTATTTGGCTACAGGTTACAGTTCTGCTGAAAACAAGATTTTGCACTATTTCTGTATTAATTACTTAAAATGTTCTCAGTACGTTAACAACTCAACTGCTTGTTATGAAAAAAAAATTGCAGGGGTAATACTAACTTCTCCAATTTACCTCATAGCCAGTAATTGAAGAGTTGGTTTAGTCTGAACCTTAGATAAAAAGTTTTGATACAAGTACGGGTTTTGTTGCCTTGGATTATAAATCCTAACTAAACCCGGCCTTTCCCTGAAATCCTGAGTCGTGACCGTTCCGCTGTGATCGCAGCCTGGGCAGGCAGGGACCCGGCACTGGGCTGAAGGGGAAGATCAGTGGAACCCTCACTCCAGTTTGAGATCGCTGCCCGATGATGTTCTTGCAGCACGGGAAAACCCTCCAGGTGCGATTCGGCTGAGGGCAGGGGGTGGCTTGAGCCCTTTGGCAATGAACGGCGACTGGTCGGTAGCTTTGAATTAAGGGAGAGGAATCAACAGCAAGGCTGAGCACCGCACTGCCCCGGTGGTTTTGTTCTCTGCGTGCAGCGCCCGGCGCGGGGGTGTGCGGGGCTCGGGGCTCCCCCGCTCGCTTTAAACACAAACGCGGGCCCGGCGGCGAAACCTCGCGAGGG